CCCCCAATTTTATAATGAAGCGTTAATTTTTGTTATGTTTGTGCAAACTGGCTGTGAAAGGCTAGTTCATCCTCCCTTCCCTAGACCTCTCAAAACTGTTCATTCTGAACAAGTTTAAATAATTAAGGAAGTTGAGAGATTATGGCTTTAAATTTTTCTAATAGCACCAATTATGCCTCTAGCTCTAAAGACACTTAGCATTTTATTACCATAAGAAAATGTGATTACTAAACTTGTTCTATATATTGATGTAACATTTTCTTGTATAATTTTTCACATAAACACATAATTTCTGAAAATGTCACAAAGGGATTTATTCTAAGTTTTGTGACGTATTAATTGAAGCATGCACCTTTTTTGCATTTGCTGATTTGCTATGCAAACGCATAGGATGGGCTCATGAGCACATAGTGCTTTTTGGAGTGTATTGATGGATTAGAATTCTGGCGGAGGCTGGATTTCTAACCCTCTTGCATTTTGCCATATGAGCAAAATATGGGTGCTGTTGAGTGGACGTTAGTCCCTCCAAGTTCTGATTCTTCAGAAGATTAAACTAGTTTGCTCTCCCTAACCCTTAAGGTTGGGATATCTTAATGAGCAACCTCAAACTGATTTACTGAATTAGCCTTGGATTATTTTCTATGACTAAACGTAAAAATTCTGGCTTAAAATTGCCAGTTCCAAGGCTGTGGTATTGTAATGTATTATATTGTATAACCTAATATGCAAATTTTAAAAAAACTCAACTAGTTTTATGTGTGTGAACCTTTTAGGTACATTGAAATCTTCAAGAGTAGCAGAGCAGAAGTGCGCACTCATTATGATCCTCCTCGCAAGCTTATGGCCATGCAGAGGCCAGGTCCTTATGACCGGCCGGGCGTGGGAAGAGGCTACAACAGCCTTGGTAGAGGAAGTGGTTTTGAAAGAATGAGACGTGGTGCATATGGAGGAGGTAAATATATAGAGCTTTCTTTTTCAAAAACCGATAGTTCTGTTGGAAGATCATTTTCAACATAACTCTAAATTGTGGGTTGCAGGTTATGGTGGTTATGATGACTATAATGGATATAATGATGGCTATGGCTTTGGATCGGATCGATTTGGAAGAGGTAAGAATTCTTGATTAGGGCAATTGAGGAAACTTGTCCTACATACAAAAGATTTAGAATGGACTGTTTCCACAGGGATGTCAGACCACAGGTATGGGGATGGATCCTCTACTTTCCAAAGCACAACTGGTCACTGTGTGCACATGAGAGGATTACCTTACAGAGCTACAGAGAACGACATTTACAATGTAAGTTACTGTCTTGACATTTTTATTTGGGATTTGTTGCTGCAGAACATTGCCTGAGAAATTTTCATTGAGTTAATGACTCTCTTTTCTACCTAGTTCTTCTCGCCTCTTAATCCTGTAAGAGTACACATTGAAATTGGGCCTGATGGTCGAGTAACAGGAGAGGCAGATGTTGAGTTCGCTACTCATGAGGATGCTGTTGCTGCAATGTCCAAAGACAAAGCAAATATGCGTAAGTTAAAGCTCCCCTGCAGATGTATGCACTTAAAAAAAAACCTGTAGAGTAGAATGAATCAGTTTACTATACTGGCTTTGCTTGTTAACATTGTGGTAACTTGGTGAGAGAGTAATGTTCACTATTGCTCATGATTCTCCGAATTGAACAGCCTTCAAGTTTTGCATCAATGTGGCTAAGTTCTTTGTACTGTACATGAGGTAAGTTGAACTGTTTGTGTTCAGAGCATGGCTATTTTTTGTTTCCTTAGAACACCGATATGTAGAACTCTTCTTGAATTCCACAGCTGGAGGAAGTGGTGGTGCATATGGCAGTCAAATGATGGGAGCAATGGGTATGTGTAAGCAATTCAGTTTCATGTTGTCCCGCTGATGTTTAACAAAACTGGCTAATTTTTACAGTTCTGCTTGTTCTCGGTGGCCTAAAACTAATATTCAACATTCTGTCTTAATCACAGTCAAGGAAACGGAAGGGGTAGTTCAGGATTGGAACACGAACACATTGGCAGGTATATAAACCTTTTCGATCTACATTTTGACAATTAGACCGTTAAATAAAAACTGCATGAGTGAATGGTAGTATGAGTGATTTTCAGGGTGCAGAGTGGTAACATTGGGTGTTTGGGGAAAGAGATGCTTGTTGTCCGTAATGTTGCTACAGTTTTCTACCTACAGCAGTCACTTCCGGGAGGGTGAGGGTAGTAATGTTGAATAGAAGGTAGAATTAAACTGGCAAAGATTATACCACAATGGTGGTTCCTCTTATTGGATATCCTGTTAACTTAAATATTTGAATACTTGAATATTCAGTAAAACCAAATTATTAAACTTCAGAAGCTTGGTTTGCTTGTATTAAAAAGTTTTATTCTGAAGTGGTGGTTCGTTTTATTTGTATGGGGTGCATATGCTGTTTTAGTAGCACTTTGCAGAATGGCTTCGTGCTTTACAAGGTACAACTAAGTTAAAAAAGCAAACTTCATATCCTCAACTGCAAAGAGTTTTGCAGAGATGTGAAATGGGTTACCAGCTGTATTTTGCATTTAGTTTGTACAAAAATGTAGAAAGGTGTTGTGTGTCAGGTGCAGGTTTCCTAGTCACAGCTTGGAAAGGCTAACTTCTTTTGGCATCTCCCCTCAGCTGTTTAAAGCTACATATACAAAAGGGTTTGTGTTGTCTGTTAGCCACATAATGAAGGCTATGCTCTATATTGCCAAATGCTACTTCAGATTAGGTCAATAGGTTTGAAATGAATGATGGCCAAGAAATAAAATAGCAGTTTCAGGGGGAGAACACCCTCCTCTGCTTCTAATTCAATTGTTCATATAATTTGAAAACTCAGGTGCTATAAGAATCTATAAATTGCTTATCTGCAAATAAATTCATGAGTGAAGAGCAAATTAGGAAGAATCTTCTCAAATTAGAGTTCAGGTACACAGTGAACTAGGAGCAGACTTGCCTTTTTAAGGTAGCATGTAGGCATATGCTTTTTGTAGAAGGTGACTGTAGCCAAGTTCTTAACATGTGTGTCCTTAACTTGAAAGGAAGCCAATCCAGTTACGGTGGTCCAGCTAACCAGCAGTTGAGTGGTGGTTATGGAGGAGGCTATGGTGGTCAAAGCAGCATGAGCGGATATGGTAAGATGTTTTTATTATTGGTCTTGGATGTGTTACGCAGTTAGCTATCCACCTAATGCAAGAATCAACTTCTCTTGAAAAAGTTAAAATATATTGTCCAAATACTTGGTTTCAGCTAGAAAAATCAGTCTAGATGAGCGAGCAGGAAAAGCTTTCAGTGACTAGATAAAAAAAAACACATTTAAAAGATGATGTTGGGTGATGCAGAGTTGGATCCAGTCTATATGAAGCTAGCCTGCCACTTCCATTGTGTGATAGTACAGGATCTAAAGCAAGGTTATAAGGATAACTTGGGGTGAGGGAAATGTGGTGCCATGTATGTAAGTGACTGCACTGAATTGTCTTATTTGTTATCTGTCTTAGGTAACCAGAGTGCAATGAACAGCAGCTACTACAGCAGTGGGAATCGTGCATCCATGGGAGTGAATGGCATGGCTGGAATGTCGAACATGTCCAACATGAGTGGGGGCTGGGGAATGTAACTGGTCTCCTAATTTTTGGTCAACTTTTTTTAAGAAAAAAAACAAACTAAGTTTAACAGTTTTGCAATACAAGCTTGTGATTTATGCTTTACTTGTAAGTGAAATCAGGATCATTTTAAAACATTCAGGTTCAGTATTTTTTGAATATGCTGAAACGTTCATCTAGGATATAAGTCAAGTAAAGAAGTTCCTGTTAAACAATTTTCAGCTTTTTTCCAGTTTTTGTTGTAGAAGTGTATTTGAGCAGTAAGCGTATTTAGGTTAAAGCTGTTTCAATTATGTTAAATGTTGCTCTTATACCATATAACACCAGACGCTGTTTTCAGAGCATGTTCAAGAACATGCCTTTTTGTACAAACAAGATATAGGAGCTGTGTTGGAATCTCAAAAGTGAACATTTGGCATGTTAGTTCTAGTTTTTTCTTTTTAATATCTTGTAAGGCACATTTAAGCTTTTTAAGTTAATGGGGAAATGTGAGACGCAATACGGCTACCTTTAGGATTTTGGTCTTGGTGTTCGTATGAAATCTGAGGCCTTGATTTAATCTTTCATTGTATTGTGATTTACTTTTAGGTGTTTGCGCTTAAGTGAAAATTGTTAAAATAAAACTTCCTTTTAAAAACTGGAACCTCTCTTGATTTGAAATGAGCACTGTGTTTCCAGCAGCAATTGATAACACTAATTACTGCCACCAGTTTAGTAGTTTCATCCAGCAGCAGAAAGACTCAAGAGTTGTCAATAACCACTGAAACGGAACAAAGAATGTAAACGCTAATGCTGAAGAAGAGCAGTCATAACCCACCACTATTCTCTATTTACCTATTACTTAAAATAGTTGGATGTTCTGGTTAGCTTGTGTAGATTTAGGGAACAGGGAACTACTTGGGATGCCTTTTCATTCCCACATGTGCCTGTGTCACATGACTGCTGTTACCTATAAGGACTGGTGTAGACCAACTTAAACCTGAATGGAAACCAGGAGGCTTAAGGGCTACACAGGGTTGTCTCCAATGAAGTCATCCTGTTACAAGAGGATCTTGTGCTAACAGGAGGGTCCCATCTCCCCATAACAGCCCCAACCAGTCTGCTCTGAAGGTTGAGGAAAAACCCCAGAAGAGATGTTTACAGGTGGAAGTCCTGCTAATAGATATCACTGCATTACACCACTGTTTCACATTTCTTTGAACTTTCACAAATGTAAAGAAAGATCCTCACTTTGCATTGACATGTTTGTTAGCTTCTGCCTCCATTGCAGTTCTTATCACCACCTTGTAAGCAAGTTTTGCCATATGAATTTTTTTGCACATGGTTGAAGTCACTGTTAAATCTGAATTGCAAGAAACTTGCAAATATTGATGAACTTGTTTAATTGCATTTAAGTCTTTATTGCGTAATCACTATTTTGTAGGTGCTTTAGAAACACTATATACTCTATTTACTTTTGAAGTAAAGGCACATTCTTTATACATTACGTAAAAAATTATTCCATAGGGACTAAGATTCGCATTTTTTCTTGTAACATATAAATCTAGAGGAATTTTTAAGTGGAACTGTTAGAATAGGTGGAGGGGATTAAAGTATTGAGAAAAGTAATGTATTTTAGAGGTCAAATGTACAAATGTCGAAGTACAAAGTTAAATACAAACAATAGCTTTTTACATCTTAAAAACAAAACCAGAAGTATGATTGCAGCACATTGAGCACATTTAGGGTTATCTCTGGCACTTCATTCTATGCATTATCAGTTTTTATTATTTTGGTAAGCCCAATTTGTATAAATGAAACCTCATGTCCCATTCTATCATGGGAAACTAGTACCATAAGAAAGTGATACATACTGCTGGCATTTAGATTCCCAATAAAGCCTATTAAACATTTGGTTCATTCTCAGTTTTAAATGATTTTCCTGTGGACAAGCCAATGTCTTAGGAAGAAGATGAACATCTCTGAAGCAGTAAAGTGTGGCAAGTATCACAAACTCGTACAGGCTTTGGATAGGATGGAAGTGCAAGTTCATTGCTGGAACAAGTGTTGCAAAAGATGTCACCGCAGTTTCGACAGTGGTGCTGCAAAGGTAGTGAAAACACAGTATTAGGACTATAAGCAAAAGCAATTCTTAAATATAGGCTCCAAATCAAAGGAAACTGCAAGTCTCACTAAGATAAATGGAAATAAAGTCAGCCCTCACTCCTGAAGTGCTACAATAAATGAGTTTGGGCTGAAATCAAAGGAGAGTTGTAAACAACATAAAGCCTATGGTCTCAATCAACAGAATGCATTTCAGATAATTTTCATATTTGTTATCTAGGGTAAAAGTATGGTTTCCTGGCTTTGTAAAATGATTCTAAATTTGCAAACTTAACATAGCCCCAAAGGAGCTGCTCCTTAAAAAAAGTATTAAAGATTTCTCAGTTTACAAAAGTACCACATTGCCTCTTTTTTCACATTTTCTACAGAACAGTTTCATTTGTTGCGAGACCTTAAGTGTTGTGGGATTTTGGAGCAGTATTTTGTATATTATGGATACCACCCCCTTGCTGTGTCCCTTTGCTGTTAGGAGGTTTTTCAAAAGTGGTAAAGTTGCTGCTGATTTTACTACTGGATTGTTTTGAGGAGGAGCTGTTCCTTTTGTACAGGCCTGTACATTAAGATAATTCAACTGAGGAAATAATTCCTCAGCAGTGGCACTCCAATTTTGATATACTTTCCCCAGAAGCTCACTTAGTATCAGGTCTTTGATACCAAAACATAATAGTATCCACCAAGTACTTGTTTGCTGATGCATGTCTCGGGACTGAACTGGGTGGGATGTTACAAATCTAAATTCCACAGGGTGTAAAAAACAACCATTAGTAGATGTGCTTCAAGGCTCAAATTTACTTTTTCTGCACTTTCATCCCTGATCCTCCTTGTTGCTGTTCTATAAAGGGAGGTCGTGCTTTAGAAATTGCTCTCTCCCAGGCAAGTCTCCCAGATACATGGAATAATTCAGAATTTTACCAGGAGGCTTGTTAGCCCTTTATATTACCTTTCTTCTTGAAATAGAAAATTCCTTCTCACATTGTTTACAGTGGGTTGCTTCGTCATCTTTTAGCCACGTATGACCCTAAAACAAAATGAATTATTTCAATATACAGCTTCTCATGTAAGGCATCAGTGAACTGTAGGCTTCAAAGAGGCTGAATGGTTGTCTAGGTAATGTTGGCCTAGCCATAGCATCAAGTATTTCTAGCATTCCCCCCTCCCTGCCTACCAAAAGGGGGAAAAAAAGATTTAAGCTGGTACCCTATCCACACTTAACTGGGTGTAAGTGCCAATCAAACATAATGGAATTTGTTTCTGAATAAGCATCCAAAGGACTATATGTAACTGGTAGTGTCCATTCAGACTAGAGCATGCCATGTTTAGAGAACAAAAGCAAAAATTAAAAACTAAGGTATTTAAAAGCTGCTACTACAAGTTTGAAAATGACACACTCCTGATAACTGAGGCAAAGTATCCCATGCTAGCAGGGGCAGAGATGCAAATAATGAAGCAGCAGCAGCAGCAGCAGCAGCAATCGCCAACCAGCTTGCTAATGAATGCCAGAATGCTGTTAAAGCTGCAATACCTTTAATGCTTTATTCACTTCTTTAATATCTTCCATCTTAAGCTTGGATCTAGAAAAAATAATAAAATTAATAGCAGCATTTTACATTTGTATTGTGCTTTACAGTATTCAGAGGACACCACATACACTGTATGGTGATCCTTACAATAACCCCCGCAAGGTCCATTATTATTATTATCATCATCATCTCCACACTGCAGATGGAGTGGGGCTAGCGAAGGGTGAAATAGTGGTTAGTCGAAGGCAACTTGGTGAGTTCATGGCAGAGGAGTGTTTCAGACCAGTGACTTCCAATTTGTAGCTCATCCTCCTACTGATATGCAAGCTCTCAGACTGGAGAAATGGTTCTAGAAGGAAACACATTCCAAATTGAAGGCACCAAAAAGTTGCCTTGAACCACCCATATTTCCATCCCAGTAGCATGTTTTTGAATCACTTGCTCCTTATGCAGCTAACTTACTAACTTTTAACAGCAGCATCCTCTATTGTTTCGCGCTGTGCAATAGCAAGGTTTTCTCCCCCTCTCGTAATAATAGGAACCTGGGGCCATCCAATGAAACAATACTGTAAGATTTAGGAAGACAAAATGAGGTGCTGCTTATTCAGAGCTAAAATCATGGAATTTGCTCCCACAAAGGAGCAACTTTGATGACCGAAAGACAGATTCATGGCTAAAGCTATCAAAAGCTGCAAACCATGATGGCTATGCTCTACCTCCAACCCGAAGGATCGTATGCCTCTGAATGCCAGTTGCCAGGAACTACAAGCAGGGAGAGAGTGTTCACACTCAGATCCTGCTTGTGGGCTTCCCAGAGGCATCTGGTTGGCCACTGAGAACAGGCAGCTGGACCAGATGGGCCTTTGATCCAGCAGGTCTGTAAATTATGTTTAAAATTGGAGTCACATGGTGTGCTTCCTCCTGTTTACAGCTGTGCTTCTGCCATTTGCTGCAGGAAACACTGGTGTAGCCATGACAAACAATTGCCATATAAAACATGCTTTAGTTGAGATTCCTGCATTGCAGGGAGTTGGACTAGATGACCCTTGGCATCCCTACCAACTCTACAATTCTATTATTCTTATCTTACACAAGTTAACTCAATAATGCATCTTCTCTGGGAATGAGAGATGAACAGAAAGGGGCCCAATATCAGAACATGCTTACTGGCTAAGGTGAAGCCCCATTTCTTGAAGGGCTTGCTCCTGTTCTTCGCAGACCTTTTCCAATTGCTGCTTCTCTTCCTGCAGTTTTCGCAACTCCTACAAAACAAAACACAAAAAAGGCTATATAGTTTTCATTAGGAAATTCCTCCTCCTCCTGCTATTTTGAACTTGACTGATAAGATCTCAACCATATCACTTTTGGGTGAAGGAGAGAAAAACTGACTACCTGCCGTTTGTAAAAATGTATTACCTTGCTATTAACCCAATGAATGGTTGACTTCGCCTTAACCATTAAGAACAACATTCCAATATGTTGAAAAAACCTGTGTGTGGAAAGGCTCCTAGTCTTAGCCATGGCGATGTTGCCAAAAGACTGGCTTTATTCAGCCTAAGGAGGATGCTCACTTGATCATTTGCTGATCAGAGAAAGAACAGTTCTTCCCTGGTGGCTAAGTGTTCTTGAACCAGTAGCTTACAACAACCCCTGTACCCTTAAAGGAGAGAATCTGCCACGTTACATACTAGTAGAAAGGCACCCGAGTTACTTCCCCACGTTTCCTGTCCTGCATTCTTCAAGTTGATGCCCTACAGAGGTTCTGGACTACAGCATTTGGTCTCGCTGCGATTTGGATTTCCAGCTCACTTACTTTTTTTAACCCTTCCACTTGCTGCAGTTCTGTTTTTAGCAAAGCTGTAGTGTCCTTCTCTTGATGCAGCTGATGTTGCAGAGTCTGCCGCTGCTCTTTCTCGGATTTTAATTCTCTCTCAAGAGTTAAACTGTTTTAAATTCAGAGACCAAATAAACAAATGCCAAGTTAGAAACAAAGCTTGTTTAACAGCAGTATTTACTTTGCTAGAAATTCTTGAAATAATTATGGGGGTGGGGTGAGGTAGCATGCTCCTGAAGCCACAAGGGAGGAGTTTTGAATTTCTGTGTAGATAGTGGATATCACTTGGGAAGACAGGTGTACTGGAAGAAGCAAAGATCACCAGTGTCAAAGCAATGATTCTTCAACATCAACTTCGTCGGACTGGTCATGTTGTGCGGATGCCTGATTATAGTCTTCGAAAGCAACTACTCTATTCTGAACTTAAAAATGGACAGCGTAATGCTGGTGGTCAACAAAAGAAGTTTAAAGGCTCTCTCAAGGCAAATCTAAAAAAAAATGTAGTATAAACACTGACAATTGGGAAACACTGGCCTGCAAGCACTCCAATTGGAGAACAACCTTTGCCAAAGGTGTCATGGGCTTTGAAGACACTCAAACTCAGAACGAAAGGGAGAAATGAGCTAAGAGGAAGGCAGGTTTGGCAAACCCTCACCATGATAAACTCCTGCCTGGAAATCTATGTCCCCACTGTGGAAGGATGTGTGGATCCAGAACTGGCCTCCACAGTCACCTACAGAAACCGTTAAGAACGTGTTCATGGAAGACAATCTTACTCAACAACAAGTGATCGCCAAAGAAGATGATGTAGAGAAAAGCTTATGGAAAGGGGTGGACACTGACTTTCCTGCTTTTGCCTCTCCCTAGAGGGGAGGGGAGAAATGACAGTTCAAAACGATCACAGCTCCCATATCATATTAGAAAGTTTAGTGTCAACTAATTTGCTGTGCTGATGCATCTTGTTAGCTTTGTGGCTAGCTGATTTTGTGAGGCATTTAAGCTGTGAATTAAACGCTCTGTTTCCAGGAAAACCAAGGATAAACAATACGTAATACAAGGTTACCACTTGTTATCCAGCTGGATTAGCTGCTGTTTCAAGGTCACAATTTTGCCACCCAGTTCTTGTTTCAGTTTGACATTTTTTTCTTCTGCAACCTGCCTGGCCTTTTCTGCATGCTGCAATCTAAAAAAGAAGAAAAAACACACACACACAAGTTACATAGAACTATAGTAGGCTTTCCCTCTTGCCAAAGCTACCACCTTTGAACACACCCTTATCATGAATTAACATGTTATATTAGAAGAAGAAGAGTTTGGATTTGATATCCCGCTTTATCACTACCCGAAGGAGTCTCAAAGTGGCTAACATTCTCCTTTCCCTTCTTCCCCCACAACACTCTGTGAGGTGAGTGGAGCTGAGAGACTTCAAAGAAGTGTGACTGGCCCAAGGTCACCCAGCAGCTGCGTGTGGAGGAGAGGAGACGCGAAGCCGGTTCCCCAGATTACGAATCTATCGCTCTTAACCACTACACCACACTGGTCAGTAGCTACTGCAGGGTAGGTAGGTCAGCCTTCAGCACTCTGGGCCCACAAGGGTCTGTCTAAGTTACCCTGTCTAGCAAGGAGACAGATGTTCACCAGTCCTAGCCTGAGCTTGGGGAAGTTGGGCCAATAAGCTTATGTCTTCAGCTCCTAAGGAGACCACCAGTGAACAGTGCTTCAGTGAACGGCCCTAACAGCTATTTAAGCCCCATGTGCCCTGATGGAGGGCAGTAGAAAAGGCAGCCAGGCAGCTCATGCCATCAGCTCCTGAAGGGACCATCGAGTGGCCTGAGAGAATCCTGTTCTATGCTTTTAAACTGTTGTTTTAGTATGTTAAAAGCATAAATCACCTTAGGGTGCACTGGCAGAAACGCGGCATATAAATGAACAATTCTCTTAAAAGTACAACTTGCCTTTCCCTCTTGCAAATTCATCAGTTTTCCATTCCGCCCAAGGGCATCCCAAGCCTCTCCTGCATGGCTCTTTTCCTTTCCCTCCCCTGATTTTTCCACCACATTGAACTTTCTCACATGTCTGCCTTATCCTTCTTCAGCATCTAGCACAGGGGTGAGGAACCTCAGGTTCAGGGGCCAAATTAAGCCCTCCAGGGCTTTCTACATGGCCCTTGGGAGTCTGGCCATGCCACTCCTGATCACAGAAAGGTAAAGGGGATTACAGGAAATAGGTCAGTGGGTCATCCATGCCTTCCCTAGAAACATGTTGTGCCCATGAAAGGAAACTAATGTTGACTTTGGAAACATTAAAAATTGGGGAACTAGGCAGGTCACAGCTAATCAGGCTTATGGAAGGGATTACCTGCCCTCCATCTGCTTGACAGAAGACATCATTTGATCCGTTTTGCCTTCAAAGGATGATATTGCTTCACTTTTCTGCTGCAACGAACCTTCTGCATTCTGGAGGGAAAGAATCAAACTGCTCACTGCAAAATTGTTCTGTGACTTGTGACTACAAAACCCAAACCATTCCAGGTCCATATATCATTAGCTTAGTAATGAGACAGGTCAGAAAGTTACTTCATCATGTCTCCCTCTTCATACTGAAATAGGTTTTTCCCCCCACTTCAAAAGGCAGAGAATAAAGTTGCCTCACTACCGTAATGCTAGAACAGGCAAAGTGGAGGCAAGAATCAAGGAACTGGCTTAACCTTGGGATCTGAGAAAAGATGAATTAGACATTTGAAAATAAGTTTAATACTCCACAGCTAAAAGCCAAATTAGTACAAGGAAACCACTGTGCAAGCCCCATCCTATGTCTATATACAAACCACGTGAGTCTCTCACATACTTTTAAGGCATCTCAGAGGGGAAAAAAAAAGATTAATGGGATTCTCTCACTGACCCTTAATACTATCTATCATCCAAACAATAAGCAGAGATGTACACAGGCATTGCAATCTTCAGACCTCCTGGCCAAAACAAGTGACTGGAAAACTAAGCTGATTAGAGAGAAATCAAGAGCCATGTTTCCCCGGCTGTCATGGCTAAAGAATGTTTAGCTAAGCAATCTCCTCCTTTCAACTGTATCATGTGAAGAGGCCCTTACTCGTAAGCAGGAAGTTTTCTTTTTCTTCCAGCCACTAAGAATGTGAATGAATGTTGTGCTCACTATACATCACTGAGTACATGAAAAGGGCAGGATTCATCTTACCAGCCCTGTCAGTGGAAGCCCTGCGCAAGGACTTCTGCTTGGGCAATGGGGATCCCTCTAAACACACGCCCTAATTGAGTCAAGGCGTGTCATGAGAATCCCCACTCCAAACAGAATGCAGGGGGAGAAAAGGGGGGATTGTTCCAACTACTAAGATGAAATGCTTATTGGAAGAGTGCAATGTTAAATTCCACCCAAAATGCATATTCATGCAAGGTTGGTTGTGTCTACTCAGAATCCTGACGTTGTACCTAACAGGGGGACAAATCCCCACAATAAAAATTAATGTAAGAAACTTCTATATAACTGAACCAGAAGGCATATGCAGTTGAGACAGAGGACCGTGGTTTATGAAGCTAGGAATGAGCATCAGGTCTGTATGCACTCCTCCTGCCATTTGGATGCAATGGGGAACTCTAGTTTAAACAAACCAGGATCTCTCCACTGAAGCCAACGTATAAGGGGAAGGAAGAATGTGTGGGCTTGGGCAGGCCACTCTCCTTTTCAGTTGTCCATTTATAAACCTGAGCTCAACAGTGATCCTACATCAAGGGTAGCCAGTGTGGTGACCTCCTGTGTTGGGGATCATAACTCCATCACGTCAGCATGGCCAGCGGTCAGGAATGATGGGAGTTAAAGTCCAAACATATATGGAGGGCTGCACACAGGCCACCCCTGTGCTACAACACAGGGCTTTTGCAAGGACGAAGCTAATGATCAGAACGCACTGTACACATTTAAAGTGTTATGCTCATACCTAGTGAATAGGTTGCTTCTCCATTTACTTAACAAATTTACCTGAGATTTATTAAACATCTGCAAATTGATAGCTTTAACTTCCTCCAGCTGCTGGCGAAGGGCCACCAAAGTGTCCTGTTTTTCATGAGTATCTTTCTCCAGGAGCTTCATAGCAATTTCCATTTCTGTTTTCATTCCAATCTGCAGCTCCAGCTCTTTTTCCAGCTCCTTTAAAAATAAAATTCAAATCTGCATAAAGTAACAAATATTTTCTGTTGAGCTGTGTAAAACCTGGCCCGTGTGAACTTGTGAACTTGTGTTTTTATAGATTGTGTGACAATGGTTGGAATCAAAAGAAGCTGAAGGTTGATACTGAAAGCATGCTGACACTATTCAGCGCCCCCCCCCCCATAGTCGCAAAGCGGGATCAGGGGACCCCTGGCACAGCATCCAAGCAAGCTTGCTATGATGGTGCATACAGAAACCGAACAAACAATGATTCGCTCCAGTTAATGAATTATGGTGTTTCACCGTTCGGATTCTTTTCTCCTCTTTCAGTTGCTTCCAGACATCACTGTACATTTCATCCAGGCCTTGCCGTGACTGCTTGTATGTTTCCAGTTCAACTTTGGTGTCCTGTTTTGTTACCTAGAATAAAAGGTTATTTGAGAAATCAACCTGTTGGTAGAGTAGGTAAGTTTCTCACAAGAGAAATTATGTTTATTTAGAAGTGATTTTATATCTACAGACAGTATTAAATACAGGAAGATATGTATTATTGTTGTTTTATTAATTTATGAATTGTCCTGAATATATAAAATAATCTACCTGGAAAAGCTTGTTGCAACAAAAATGTTTTCAATTGTTTCTAAAAGCTACAAATACAGAGTGCCTGTTGTATGTCAACGAAGATGTTCCCTAAAACAGAGGCAGCCACACTGAAAGTCCTTCTGCAGGCTCCTGATATTTTAGGGACTTAAAGAAGACTCTCCTGCACAAAGTGTCCTACAGAGGTGTGCTAATGTTTAAATGGAAAACAAGCTCCTAGGTGGACCTCCACACACATCAGCTACATACTGTATCTGACCTCGACATGCTTTTCGCTTCGTTCACGGATTAGTTCATTTTCTTGCTTCAGCTCCTGCTGCTCTTCCTGAAGTGCCCTGATCCGATCAGTTGCTGCTGCCAGCTGACAAACAGAGGTGGGTGTGAGAAGAGAGAAGACAAACCACCATGCATCATCTGGATGAATATTTAAAAACATCCCATTCAACTGCAGCCTGAAATTAAGATCAGGCAAGCTCATATTTCATAATTCAGCCACTAAGGTGGATACACACAACTGTTTTATTATTCCAAGACAGAAACTGGCAAGTTTTTCTGTTGATGAACATTCCTTTCAGAAAGGACGCATGAGAGGGAAAACTTCTCAGTCTTAAAATGGTTAAGCCCTTCTTAGTCCAGACACTGTGTAAGTGCTGTAGTTCAATGGCGGAGCACTTGCCTCTCCCCTCTGAAACACTGATGACTTGCTACTAGTCAGCGTCAGCAACACTAAGCTAGATGGAGCAATGGTCTAACTTGGTATAGAAGCAGCTTCCTATGTTCCACGTACCTTTAGGTTGTATACGAGAGGAAATGAACTATCTGGCTCTCCTCACCATGACCTTTCCAGCTTCCCAATTCCTATCAGTTTTGCTCTGCTCAGGAAACCCATTTGATAAGATTCGCAGTTTCAAGAAGGAAGTCACTTCAAAATTTTCAAAAAGGAGCAGGCACCAGTAGCAATTGAAAAACTTGAGCACCACAAACCTCTTCTTGGAGCTTTGAATTGGTCTTCTCTAGGCACTCTATCTTGGTCTGCAGATCTCCAACAGTGCAACTGTGACAAAAAGATTACCAAGACCCGCTTAACATTAGCCACTCAAAAAAATGCCAAGTGTTGAAGGGAAGTCTAAGCAACCAAGAATTATTCTGTTTTTTGTCCCCCCCCCCAAAGAAACACTTAGCGCTCACAGTTTAAGAAAATTAATGAAAAATATAATGGTATGCAAAACACTATTATTGGATTGTAAATATGGGGGTTTAAAGTGGGGGAGTTACAAGGCTAGCAGAACTAGGTGCTAGAAGAGCAAGATAGTACAGTGGTACCTTGGTTTGCAACCGTCTTGGATTACAACCGTTTTGGATTACAACCATGTCAAACCTGGAAGTCTGTGTCCCATTTTTTGGATTACAACCAATTTATTTTTGGATGACAACCAATTTTTTTGGGAGGCCCCATTGGCGAAAGCGTGCCCTGGGTTACAACCTGTTCGAACCTCCGGAACGAATTATGGTTGTAAACCAAGGTACCGCTGTACGAAGAAAAGGGGCAGATCCCTCTGAAGGAATAAGCATGAAACCCGTTTTTCAATAGTATAGCATTCCTTAAACTGCTGCCGTAGCTAAAGCTGTGATTTTAAACATGGGGGAGGGGAAGAGGACAGGGGGAAATCAAGTTTTCACCAAGGAAGCCTACCTTAGATGGCGGTTAAGTTCTTCTACATAATGTTTCTGATCAAGCACCGCAGTAATGCCTCCATCTCTGATATTGAAATAAAGATGGTATTTTAAAGAACGGCTCATTCTCTCAAGTGCAACATTTATATTAGAGACATTCCAGAATGGCAGCCATATAGGTTCTCTTGCAGCAAAAACAACAGGAGCTTTGTGGCATCTTAAAGACTAATAAATGCATTATGGAATAAGTTTTTTTGTGGACTATAGTCAGTTTGCCACAAGACTTGTCATGTTATATTAGATGAAAGTTATCATACAAAAAGCTACATATGCATTATATATGCCAATGCTCTTCCTTTATTAGGACCAGTTTGGTGTCAACAAGATGTGCAGCTGGATTTTTAAAAAAATGATAGGGGATAAATGACTCCAAGGGGTTAAAACCAGCCCCACATTCTGACCAGCAAGGTCAAATTGCAGCTACAGTGGTGCCCCGCAAGATGAATGCCTTGCAAGACGAAAAACTCGCTAGACGAAAGGGTTTTCCGTTTTTTGAGTCGTTCCGCAAGATGAATTTCCCTATGGGCTTGCTTCACAAGACGAAACGTCTTGTGAGTTCTTGCGAGTTTGTTTCCTTTTTCTTAAAGCCGCTAAGCCGTTAATAGCCGCTAAGCCGCTAATAGCCGCTAATAGCCGTGTTTCGCAAGACGAAAAAACCGCAAGACGAAGAGACTCGCGGAACGGATTAATTTCGTCTTGCGAGGCACCACTGTACACCCAAAATAGAGATGCTGAGAAAAACCATTATCAATATGAAAAGATAGTTAGGACACCAATGTGTAAAGACACAAAGAAACTGGGTTTTTAAAAATTAATTCTCCACACAGTTAAGAGCAGGTAAAAAACACAGTTTTAAAAGCTCTGTCAGAAAAGCACCCAGGACTGCAATGGATGCATTGTTATGAATTATACATGTTATACAAATATAAAATGTACATGTTTTCTATGCAGCTTGTCCAGGTTCCCCAGTTAGTAGAGCATAGCTCCTTCAGTCCCCATTAGTTCAACAAGACAGGTGTATAGGACCTGTGTGTAGAAACAGGGGATGGGTAGAGGATGCCTGCCCTTAAAACCAAATTTGAGTGGAACTGGAGGGAAGGCCGCTGAAGTCAGAATTAGCATGTTTGAGCCTCTATATATTTCCTCTGCCCTATTTTTTTGTCAATAGCCTTTCTATATTCCATTTCTCCCACTCCTCTCTTTCTCAGAAAGAACTAAAGAAATCCCTAAATATAGGTTCATCTACTTTAATTAAAAATTCTATTAAACAAAGATTAGGAACATAAATTCAACCTTACATACTCTTTGCTATTGTCACTGTTTTGTGTATCTTTAAGGTACAGGGAAAAATCAATCACTGCAACCTGAAAAGACAAATAAGATTCATTTACAATTGAATTAAGTGCCTCAACAGGATTAGCTATGCTTTACTTATTTTCATACCTTTCCTTCACATTCTAATAAATTGAGTTTTAAGGGAATAAAGCACAGGAGGCCAACTTTTTTCAGCCTGGGGGATGCATTCATCCTTGACCAACCCTCCATGGGGTGCACCAGCCAGTGCTGGGTGTGGTCACCCCACAAAATGGAAAGGAAGGAAACACTACGGCTGATAGTACAAAAAGTGCTTTTGGAAATGCTACTCATAGGGACTCAATTCACACACAAAGACACACACTGGCCTTAGCACAGTACGAGGGTCTCCCATACGGCAGTGAGTAGGGACAAGTGGTAGAATTGCTTCTGCTTGTTTAATGCCCCCATATGACCCCCCTGGCTTCAAGAAAGATTTAGACTACTAGGATAATATAGGCCTGAACTACCAAAACACAAGTTATTCCTATCTACAGGGTTGTTTATGAATGTTAAATATCACTCCTAGGTTTACCTGGGTGTCCAAATCTTCTCCTTTTAAGCAGAGATTTGCATCAATGACATTCAGTCCCACAAGCAGACCTATGATCACAGCTCCTTCCTCTTCCATCATCAAGGCATCAGGCTCATAAAATTCACTAGGAAAGAAAACAGATAATTTAATAACTATTGTGTGTGTGTGGGGGGGGTACTGTATTATCCACCCAATTAAGACCAATTCAGTAAAGATTATACTGAGCTCAGTCCTTCCTATCAAGTTTATGGCCAGAATACAAGCATTAGTCTGAATCCAGATTAAAAAATAATAGTAACAGAAAGGAGATAATGCAAGCTGGTTTTCTCCCTCACCCCATTCCCTGCACCCTACCTTGTGCAACAGCAGCCTCTGAAAATCTTCTCTCAAGGGTTGGGAGACACTGGGTGGGCTGAGGACTGCCAGCCCCCTTTCCATAGGCTTTTCTCTGGATCAAACTCATTTACGTTAGATGCTTCCCTGTGTGGCAAGAAGTGTTATTCCAGAATAATAATAAAAAGTTCAAAAGATACCTCAATAGATTCTTGTGGTCCAGGAGTACTTTCAGGTAGTCTGCCAGTTTCTTTTGCATCACAGCAAGATAAAGCCAAGCTCTGCCTCTTCCAATTGGGGTCCTACAATTCCACAAGGACACCAGGTGTCAAACATGCTATCCACTTGGTATATAAAAATGCATCAGATAAATGTTTCTGCAGTTTACCATGAGTACATATTTCCTGCAGCAGATAACTGTTTATTATACGAGCCAGATAAAAAACATTTAGGCCTACACATTTATTCATTTAACTGATTAATTAGTGAATTACCAATTAATATAAGTACTGTAATACCCAGTGCTTTTTTTCTGGGGGTACGCATACCCCTAAACATTTTGTGAATCTAAGTTTGGTCTCATTGATGGGCAGTATTTCAATATGAATAGGAAAATGAGAGTACCCCTAAACATATTTTTTTTAGAAAAAAGCACTGGAAATACCTTATTACAGAAGATTTGGAAAGAACATTTAAGTAAAGGAAATATTGTCATGAAATTCTACCCTTATTGATCCATAGCAGATTCCAACGTATAGTTAGCAGAGTAAAATCTTAAACACTTTGCAGGATTCCAAAAAAAAATAGACCAGAGGCAATTAATATTTCATCCAGTAGAGCTTTACTGCTACTGAAGGCAAATGAGCATAATGGTCACAAATCCAATACATTCAGGATTGGCCCTGTCCATAAGAAATCCAGTTGCAGCAGACTTAACTTAAACTTACAATAACCTGTAATAAGTCTAAACCTTAACACTAAGCATACTATGTACAGAACACCACACCAGTAGGAAAAGAGATAGGAAGAGAAAAAGTGAACCCCAGGCTCCTTCTGGCCTATTTTTATAGTCAGCATGACCTTGCCAGAAGAGATAAGAGAACCAGTTTAAGCCAGCTGTACTCGGCTTCTCTGAAGGAATAACCAAACCATCATGAACCTTCTGCTTGTTTCTTTCACACAGAGAGGCTTCCGGAGCCCTCTTGAATTAATTAGAATAGGAAAGATCTCTACATATCAGATCAATACTTTCTGTACTAAGAACTGCAAACTGGGAAAGTTTGACTACTGGGAAAGTCATATGGGCAGGTCTAAATAGTTAATATTGAAGCAGGTCCTACTGAGGTCAATATGACTTTTTCCCAGTACCCACTTTAATGTTTCCCTCTGGCATCTGACACCTGTTGAAAACCCATTGCTCTGAATTGGCACAACAATTCTTATAAAGAAAGAAAAAATAAACCTGTAATAATTTTGACAGTCTTAAATGTAAAACGGTATTGGTAAAAGCATTAAATGACAGGAAAATGTAGCTAAACTGTCACTGTATACAACAACAGCATTAGCACTGAAAACCCCTGTCAATAAAGGATAATTTCAGTGTAATTTTCCCCATCTTTTAACTTGAAATTAGCCCATCATCTTGTTAACAAATCAACCCATAAAATATTATGAAGGTACATGAATACTATTAGCAACCTCATTCCTTATAAGAATTTGTTTCCTTAACCTCAACCTGAATCTTTTAAAACTCACTTTAACTCTGGCAGATTTCTGACACTTGTTGCTAAATCTGATGCTTCTGGACAAAGTTTCTCCACCATCTCTAGAGGTCCAAAAAACGATTTGTTCTGCCCAATGAAACTCTTCTTAGCTAGATAAAAGGGAGGCAATGGAAAGGAAATAACGTTGCATTATTTCAGTTTAATGTGTGCAAAGTAAAAAGGTTCACAACAGTTCAATGAACATAAAGCAAATGTAAAACACAGAAAGCACACTTAACAAGGGAAGGAGTAAGCATCATTAAACATAGTGGAACTTCTAAGTAAACATGGATATGCTTGCATAATTAAGGTATTTTCACACCTCACATTCAGGCTACAATTCTGCATACACATACCTGGATGTAAAACCAACTGAACACAGTATGAGAATACTTTCAAGTAATATATGATTGTGCTATGAAGTTCTTTTTAGGAAAACAACCCCCCAACTTTGCATTCTGCAATTTTATTGTAAAACTTCTGTGGCTAGATTGAACATTTAGTTTAAAATGGCAGTCCATCTCTGTCACGCATTTATTCCATTTACATTTTCAGACAAGTAGCAGGAGGAAGGGTTCAGAGTCATCTTTAGTGCCACACACAACAATGCTCTCAATGCTATTAAACTTGTTCCATTTCTCATCCTACAGAGTTCTAGAACAAGGTCTGTAAGTGGTCCAGCAGATGGGCATTACCTTGCTTTAATGCCACTTCTGTTTCCTTAGTAAGAGGTAAATTGATGAATTAATCAGGCTATGAATTCCACTTCGAACATGTAATTCCTTTTTGCTTTGTCTATTACTCCTTCCAAGAATTTTCTCATGGCACAAACCACACATTTTTTAATGACTTCTAGAAATATCTGGTGGTTAGCCTGCTTATGTGCACAGTTAAAGCTAAGATCCACATCAATTAAAATACTCTTACAATGCAATCCTATATATGCCTATTCAGAACTCAGTGGGGGATAGTCCCAGATAAACTGGTTAAAGCTGCAAGCCTATAATCAAAGGCACATACATACAAGGATAAGAAAAATATACTATTTGAAACCACAAGGCAAAACCAATACTGGAAGGAAGCTCACCTTTAAGTCCATGCTTGAGACAGTGTTCCATCACAACAAAGAACTGTTGCAGGGGAGGGAAGTCTGAATCAAGGGTCCGGCCCAAACTCAGAGCTGACTGGATTAAGACTTTAACACTCAGTTTCATCATGTTCATGAGATTTGAACGTTCTTCCATCATGTGGAATTTGGCTGCTGAACAAATGTAGATACACACACATATCAGAAAAGAAACTGGCGTAAGATTGATAGACTTATTCTCAAAACATCAAACCCCACAAAACACCCTCTTGCTTCATAGTTTAGCACAACAGAAATATGCCAGAGGTGGTGGTGGAGGAGAAAAGAGGCAATAGAAAAACCAGAACAATCCAAGATTTTTTTCCGTTCATATATCAGGAACTATATATACACCTCTCTTGTTAAGACAGTGGATGTTCATGAAACAGATGCACTCTAGAAAGGGTTGAAATGGTGCAGTTAGGTGGTGTGCGTGTGAGAGAGAGAAAGAAAGAAAGAAAGAAAGAAAGAAAGAAAGAGAGACATTTAACAAACCAAGGAGCAATCACAGACCTTTAAGGTCTAAAATACCCACAAGCAATAAAACACCCCGGTTATTCCCATCCCAATTTCTGTTAAAAAGAAAGCAGCGAAAACATTTTGGGTGCAATGTTTTAATTCTATTTTGTGTCTCGTATGAGTCCTAGTTATGCCCAAATACAAACAGAAGAGCTCATAAGGATGGTGACACAGAGGAACAAACATCTGCCAGTCAGACTAAAAGGGAAGCCCCCGCGGATTCTGCCTTGGTACGACCCGCATTCTGCAGTGAAAAGGAAAGCATCTTAACTTCACGGGGAGAAGGATCAGAGCAGCGAGATCAACGCTGGAAGGAGGGGAGCAGAGCAATAGTCGCTTCCGAGCATGTTTTGCCTTCTGCTCTCCTCTGTAGTCTCTTTCTGGCTCACACAAACACACCTGCATTTTGGCAGCTCAGTGCTAATAAGCTTCCCGCAATGTGGGTTCCCCAGGGAGGCTCCCACCCACCACCATCACTTCTACGACCCCTAAGCAGAGGCCTCGATAACCCCCCCCCCCGCTTAATTCCCCATTGGTATCTCACCTTCACCTGGCGTTACCAGAGCAACACTTCCCACCCCCTCAAAATCCAAAGAGAGGCCCTTCATTGGTTAAAGGCACCCAAGCCGCTGATCGCCTTCCTGCAAGCCAATCGGAACGCCCGGTGCACAAGCCGATGTCTCGGATTGGCCACAGCCAGCGACCTGCCCTCCCATGTTCCGACCGGCCAGGAAATGGTTTTAAGGCCCAGCCGCTACCGCAGCCCTCATTGGGCAAACGGGGAAAAGAGGCTTTGGGCAGAGGCAGCGCGACACTGTAAACAAGGGAGGGGTGGCGCCATTTTAGTTGTCTGGTCGCTGTTACTTTCTTAAAGGCCTCTTCCTCTCGTTGTGGAAAACCAAACGCGAGGATAATAGTACTGTACTGTGTTTTTACACTTGCGTGTATTTTTCCTCTGTAGCAAATGCTGATTTTCCCCCACCTTCCCCCACTCACCTCAACGTCATTCAAAAAGCTTTGGTGGCTGACAAATACAACCTCCTTTTTCAAGACGCTGCCAGACAATTTCATGTGTTTCAACTATATGGGGAAAATGCTTTCCCAGTTTGAAATAAAATTTGAATTGTTGTCAACAAGGTAACACTAGAATTCAAATAAAAATCAAGACCTCAAGAATAATTAACAGTACAGTACAATTTCAGCCACAAGTGGAGTTTTTTTTAAATTTAAACGAACCACTTCGTTTCTGTTAGGCACTTAGCAAAGCTGTATGGTTTTTTCAGTGTCAGCACCTGGGACTATAAGGGATATATAATACTTGATGTTTCGTAATTATATTGCAGCCTTGTACAGTATTAGCTATGTGTTCTTAATGACACATTAGTATATGGCCAAATTTCTGGTGGATGAAGTGAACACAAGTTTTGTGAAGCTGAAAGAATTCCCACTGAAGTTACTATGTTAGGGTTATGGTATTAAGGTGCTTAGGTACTTTGCCTGCAGTGTGACTAGACAGAAGCAAAGCATTCTGAACTTAGTACGGTTTTTGCAAGCTTTAGGAGTTGTAAAAATGGATCATTCACTATTTTTAGGCTTAAAATTTAAAATGTCAAGAGTTCTGGTTTGCAAAACTGCAGCAGGCAAACCAATGAATTGATAGTCACCAACGGATTGATACTATAAATCTATGTATGTCTACCCAGAAGTAGGTTCCACTGAGTTCAATGGGGGCTTTCTTTCAGATGTGAGCATAAAACTGCAAACTTGCAATGGCTGGGGTGTTTTGTTATATTTGAGAGACAATTCCTTAAATAAAGACTATTTTAGAGCATTTGAGATAATTTGAGTTGCATTTAATTTAAAACTGAGAGTCATAGCCAGCTTTAAGCATAAAGGCAATTTATGTATACAAACTGAAACATTTAATGGTAGTAGTTAATATAGAACTGTATAGAATTGATAACTTAAAAGTTTAAGACACTTCTGAAATTGATAAAAGTATACACATTACGCTTTCTCAAACATGAATAGTCTGAAGTGGGCATTCATACACAACTCCCTCTTGAGTCCACTGTAGCTTCCTTCAAAATAAGTGTGGGTAGGTTTGCAGACTTGTTTGTTTATTAGAGCATTTACAAACCACCAACTCATTAAAAATATTATGGTGGTGTATAATAAAATCATGAAAACATCAAAAAAATCTAAAACCATAAAATACAGAACAAAGGACCAACAACCTCAGTCAGAAACAACTTGAGTTGCTTTCATTGGAGCTTCTTTCTAAGGAAGCATGCCCAGCAGCCTGAAACTCACAATAAAACATTTCACAGATACAATAATCTGCCAGCAGTTATCCTTCAGCAAGTTACAGTGGAAGAACAGATCAATTATAAAAAGTGTGAATGTACAAGCAACGATGAGAGGTTTTTATCTTTTATTTTTTGATGGTAATTCTGAAACACTCCGGTAACTGTGATTGTGCAGAAATCAGTGAGGGAATATTTTGGTTGCATTGTCACTTTTTATTGTCATAAATTGCAGTTGTGTTAGTTTAAGGTAAAGGTACCGCTGACCCTTAGGTCCAGTCGTGGACGACTCTGGGGTTGCACGCTCATCTCGCTCTATAGGCCAAGGGAGCCGGCATTTGTCTGCAGACAGCTTCCGGGTCATGTGGCCAGCATGACTAAGCCGCTTCTGGCGAACTAGAGCATTGCATGGAAATGCTGTTTACCTTCCTGCTGGAGCAGTACCTATTTATCTACTTGCACTTTGACGTGCTTTCGAATTGCTAGGTGGGCAGGGGCTGGGACTGAACAATGGGCGCTCACCCCGTTGCGGGGATTCGAACCGCCGACCTTCTGATCGGCAAGCCCTAGGCTCAGTGGTTTAGACCACAATGCCACCCGCGTCCCTTTTTGTGTTAGTTTATTGCAGCAAAAATCCATCTGCTTAAGTCGACCATAGCCCATGAAAGCTTATGTCAAAAAAAATTAAGCCACAATACTCTTGTCATGGCACTTTAACTGAATCATATAAATTTTAAGAATTCCTACGTAAATCAGAATTCATAAAAAGTTTGTAGCACCTGCATTTCTCAAAAGCCTGATAAGGCTATTTTCTTACTTGCTACAAAAAAGTGCATTGCCTGCCCATTTGGCAGTGCATCATATGGTTTAATGCAGGGGTAGGCAAGCTAAGGCCTGGGGGCCGGATGCGGCCCAATCGCCTTCTCAATCCGGGCTGCGGACGGTCCGGGAATCAGCATGTTTTTACATGAATAGAATGTGGCCTTTTATTTAAAATGCATCTCTGGGTTATTTGTGGGGCCTGCCTGGTGGTTTTACATGAGTAATACCCTGCCCATCTGGCTGGGTTTCCCCAGCCACTCTGGGCGGCTTCCAACAAAACACTAAAATAGAATAACCTATTAAACATGAAAAGCTTTCCTAAACAGAATGTGTGCTTTTATTTAAAATGTATCTCTAGGTTATTTGTGGGGCCTGCCTGATGTTTTTACATGAGTAGAATGTGTGCTTTTATTTAAAATGCATCTCTGGGTTATTAGTGGGGCATAGGAATTCATTCATATTTTCCCCCCTCCAAAATATAGTCTGGCCTGAGGGACGGTAGACTGGCCCACAGCTGAAAAAGGTTGCTGACCCCTGATTTAATGCTCCAGTAATCAAGATGTGCTTGTTAGCTTAGGTGGGGTGGTACACACATGCCTCTAAAGTGGCACAATAACCCAGTTAGTCTTTGTCTGTAAGAATATAAAGAACAGCCTTGCTGGATCACACCAAAAGTCTTATCTAGTCCAGCATCCTATTCTCATAGTGGTCAACCAAATACCTACGGAAAACTTAAATGATTTAAGACTACTGGAATGGCATACTATTCTATTTTTCAGGTTTCCGTGTATTTGTAGGTATTTATATTTAGTTGTAGTGAATTTCTCCATGCCCTTATTGCCTTCTATTTCTCCAACATATTTTACACCATGGATAAAAAATACAGTGTCTTAAAAAAACCTGAAGGTTGTAACTAATGTTTGTCATACTCAGAGTAGAACCATTAAAAATGATGGCCATGACTGACTTGGGTCCCTTCATTTTAGGTGGGTTTACTCCAAGTTGAACTTCAATCGATACAACCCTAACAAGATTATTTTTATTCTTTCAGTACCACAATATTCCGTTTTTGCCATAACACAGATTAACACAACTATTCATACAAATCCTGCACCCCAGTGTTGGAAAATTGTTTTAAGTTCCAGGACTAAATGTTTAATCAGCTTTCCAGTCCTTTGCAGGAATAGAAGAATGATAAAACAGCCCAATGGGACTTATTCTCAAGTGGTGGACATACAGTGCACAGTTGTTTGGGAGTAAGCCCCAAATAACGCAATGGGGCTTGCCATTGAGTAAAAATGCACAGAAAGGAACTGGTAATTTGCAACACATTTGGGTCTCCTAATTTTCCTACATAACTGGCTTGATAGTAACAGCTCTCTCTCTCCCATCTTGTTCCCTTCCAATTAACTTAAGAGTTACATTTCTACACTAGGATATCCCTTTTTCTTTACCCTTAGAGTGATTTTTTTCCTACTGGAATTTGATAATACTCCAAATATTATATATAAGACTAGTAGAGGTAAAAAAGATAAAGGACCCCTGGAGTAAGCTACAATTGACATCCATCAGCCTTTATTTATAAATTTATGGACTTTTAATAATTGAAGAAAACATTTTGATTGCCTAGATTTAGTAGTTACAACTTTATGCTCTATTTCTACACAATTATGTTTTTATATATTCATCTAAGTCATTGTCACCTGATACAGGCAATCGGTGCAAGTCATTTTTCAACTGAACTAAACTCTCCAGGAGAAAACAACCATTCTTAAATACACAGAATTATAGAACTGTAGAGTTGGAAGGTACCCCAAGGGTCATTTAGTTCAACCCCCTGCAATGCAAAAATTAAAATACTAAAACAGATTAAAATTACCTCAGTTTTCCAGACATCTATACATCAATGTAATAGGTGGATGAAAGAAATGTTAATGAACTTCAGAATAAAATGCAGTCTGCTACTACTGTTTTATCTTTTGCAAACCTCTTTGTGATTTTCTACAATCAAATGGTGTATAAATTTTAACAAAGAGTTTGCTAGAGTTTAGTTCTTGAATCTATTTTCAGTTCCACACCTCAACACTAGAACATGTGAAGGAGATGAACTCTGAGCATGCTGTTTGCATCTGTCTGCTTCGAGAGGCAATGGAAGCATGCACCATCAAACCATTGGGAGAGTTACAGTGCTTGCTGTGACTGTAGAAACCAATATGAGAGAGACATGTTTTATTGCAGCAGGGAGAGATGAAGGTGCCTGGTTTTGCTGTTACAGGTGTGCCATGGCATTTCTTTTCTCTGCACTCCTCATAGCAGCCACTTCTCCTCTCGTTGCTGCTGTGGATACATGACCTGAATGCCTGTCTCCAGGCATTATGGTAGTCTGCAAGAGATTCCCACACGGCAGGGTTTAATGTTGCCAGCCTTCACGTCACACTTGCAGACATCTTTGTAACACAGAGTTGGTCTGCCGACAGGCCTAGTGCCTGAAGCCAGCTTCCTGTAAAGCACATCCTTGGGGATCCTGACATCTTTCATTCTGTGTATGTGACCAAGCCAGCATAGACCTCGTTGAGAAACTGCGAAAAAACTTGGAATGTGGGCTTTAGAAGAGCACATTTTTGTTTGAGACTGTCCTGCTATGGGATGCCCCAAATCATCTTGACACAGTGCATATGGAAGGCATTGAAGTGTTGCTCCAGGCAGGTGTTAAGTTGGCCATCACTCATTTCCATAAAGCAGCATACTCAGCATTCAAGCCTGGTCATTAGTATCACATTTTCCCATACCCTTTTGGGGAGACAAGCCATTGCTGTAGCTGCTGTACCAATACACTTGTCTAGCTCTGCATCAATGGACATGTTGCTGGTTATGGTGGAGTCCAGGTAGACAAAATTGTCTACCACCTCAAGTGTGCGGTCACCAATGCTGATGTGTGGAGTGCTGGCGATGTTTTGACCCAAGATGTCGGTCTTCGTAAGGCTGATGGTAAGTCCTAACTCCATGCAGGCTTGGACAAAATGGTTGATGAGTCTCTGTAGAGTTTTCTTGCAGCGGACTGTCAAGGCTGCTTCATCTGCAAACAAAATTTAGTGGATGATAACCCATCACACTTTTTGGGGGCATGGAGACGTGACAGGTTGAATAGACACCCTGTCACTCCTTGAATGGAAGTGCACACCATCTTCAGTCAAACAGAAGGCATGGGAGACCAACAGGGAGAAGAATATGCCAAAGAGAGTTGGAGTGAGAGCACAGCCCTGTTTCACACCAGTATTAATAGGGAAGGTATCCGAGGATGAACTGTCATACTGAACGGTGCCACACATGTTCGCATGGAAGGACATGGTAATCTTGTAGAGCTTAGATGGGCACCCTATCTTATTGAGCAGTGTGAGGAGTCCTTTCTGGCTGACAGAGTCAAAGGCCTTCATCAGGTCTATGAAGGCAATGTACATGGGGCATTCCTGCTCTCTGCATTTTTCTGGCGCAGTGAGAAAATCATGTTAACTGTTGACCTCTGAGCTCTAAAGCCTCATTGTGACTCAAGATAGACCCTGTCAGCAAGTGACTGTAATCTGTTGAGAACTACATGCGTGAAAGTACTCAGCAAGCTACTGTAATTGTTACAGTCATGGCAGTCACGTTTGTTCTTGTAGAAGGTCACACATGTCTTGTGGCACAGATCCCGTTCCCCAACACTGCAAGAGAAGTCCACGGAGGTGAGTCATGAGCAAATTGAGGCATGCTTTCAGCACCTCTGTTGGAATTCCATCCTGTCCTAGGGCTTCCCCACATACCTGAGACTGACAGAGCCTAGACGCTATCAACAGCTGTGTTGAAGACTATGTTTTCCTGTGAGTACAGTTCTTGATAGTTCTCTGCCCATCACTTCATCTGCTTGCTATGGTCTGTGATGGTCTCTCCAGACAAGTTTTTAGTGGTGCAGTTTTTTCTACTGTTAGTTCAAAGGCTTTCTTCATGCCTTTGTATATTTTGTGAGTACTGCCACTGTCAGCAGCAAGCCAAATGCTCTGACACAGCTTTAGCCAGTAGTCACTGGCACATCGCCTGGCAATCTTCTGGGCGTTGTTCCTTGCACTCCTCAGTGCAGCAAGCATCTTCTTGCAGGGGGCACACTTTTAGTTCACAACAGCCTTGTGCTTTGCAGTGGTAACAGGCTCCATGTTCTAAACGCTGGCCTCAAACCAGTCAGGGATCTGCTGCTCTCTGCTGTGCAGAGTGGCTTTTCTGTATCTGTGACACCAAGTACAAAGCCTCAGTCTGGAATTTGGGGGGAGTGTTTCTAGGTCAATCAAACAAAAGTACATACAAAGAGCCCTGCTGGATAAGAACAAAGCCTATCTGCCTCCTATACTGGAGGCAATAAATAGCCATCATGACTAGCAGCCGTTGGTAGTGCTTTACAGAGGACGGGGGGACGGTAGCAGAATAATCGATGGAAGGTAACACTATCTAAGTCTGTGACCATCACCAGCTCTTGCGGTAGCAAATCCCAGAATAGAAGGTGTGTGAAGAGGTACTTCCTTTTGCCTGCCCTGAATCTTTGTTGAACGTGGCCCACGGTTCTAACATCATGACAGACTGGGGGGGGGGGAATTTCTCACTCTGCTTCTGGAGTGGAGAACCGCAGCTCCCATCAGCACAAGCGGCCAGGGATGATGGGAGTTGTAGTTTAGCAACATCTGGAAAGCGGCAGGTTTCCCCACACCACGTGCGTTCTATACGCTTTCTATCATGCCCCCCCCCCACAAAACAAAAGGGGGGAAAACATAAAGGTATCCATCGTATGCAGGCAGCCTTGACTTAAGCCTAGCCACCTCCTTATGTTTATATTGGCTCACACTGTAAGAAAGTATTCCCTCCGCCGGGCGACCAACGCTACCGCCCCCACCGGCAGTTTAGGAAATAAAACCACTTGCTGCTTCTTCGCACTCCTCCCGCCGCCCCCCTAAAAAAAATAAATTCAATATCACAAGCAATAAGCATGGCCCTACTTGGGTTGGCTGGGCTGTCATTGCTGAGCGGTTTGGGCACGAGTCCTACCAAGGCTGCGGACTTCAGGGCGCTCCCATAGCCGGCTGCTAAGTTTTCCGAGGCTTTCTTGGCCAGCGAGAGGATGGGAGCCGGCCACCGCGAGTCCTCGGCCGGCCTCTCTTTGCCGCCGCCGCCGCCGCCCCTCAGCTCAGGCGCGCTGCCGGGGGTCCGGGCGGCGGCGGCTTCGCAGCCCTCGCTCTCTCCCGCGGCGGGAGCAGCAGGTACTACTTCGCAACTCTGCCCTCCTTCAGCCATCTTTGCTGGGTCATATGACGCGAGTCAGGAGCCCTCGGGCCTCGGCAACTTCTTCCTGTCCCTCTCGGGTCCCTCTCGCTGGCTTCCTCGCCCACAGCCCTGGTGTGGCTGCTCTGCACTGGCGTCGAGGGAGGAACTTGGGCGGGCTTACTCCTAAGGAAGCGCCTCTTTCGCGCGCGCAAGGCGAAGCCGACTTTTGCCTCAGGAACTTTGCCCCTTGGGCTCGTTTAACATGGGATTCCCGCGCTGTCAGGCCGCAACCCTCCACTCACCTGGGACTGAGGGAAACTTGCTTTTCCCAGTCGACTCGCGGAAGAGCAGGGTCTGGGGTTGCTGCTTTTGCTTAGGGGAAGGAAAGCCAGGAGTCCCACCGACCTGATTTTAAAAGCTTGCAGGCTTCCAGGTGGGTAGCTTCTGAGCAAAGGGCGGGGTGGACAAAAGTTGTTTTTCGAGAGATAAGAACTACCTTGAGGACTGACCAGGTCAAGGTCCATCCAGTGTAACACCGTCTCCAAAGGCCCAGACCCAAGAAAGGCTGGGTGAAATATCTTCTGCCCTTTGCCCCCAGCATGCATCTAGTAAGAAAAGCTTCCCAAGTTGGAAGCTTTCCGTTTGGGATGGATCTCTCCCTCTGATGCTCTTTAAAAAGCATCAGAACGAAAGGCCATAATCAGTCTTGAAATGATTTATTTTGCGGGACGGATTCAAGCACATACCAGAAAGTTTGTACAATTAAAGCGGACACTTCCAGACGCTTGCTGTTTTTGGACAGGATTCATTCACACACTGGCAAATTCAGGCTGCACAGTTAACACTGATTTGGAGATCTTGCACAATAAACCCCCTTCCCCCCAAGTTCGAACTTGATGAAATAAGGAAAATGGAATGGGAAGTGTGGGTTAAGAATTGCTTGGCATACATTTTTTTGCAAACAAATCAGAAGGATCACTCAATAAATAGTCAAATGTCATTTATTCTCCATGCATGTTGAATGAATGTTCAATAAACAAGGCATCTGGAAGTGACCACTACCATAACAAAACTGCTTTTTTCTTTAAAGGGACTTTAAAGAAAGTGCAATTAGGAAAGTGATAGGAAAATGCACTGAAAAGTGTAGGATGAATGAATGATTAACAGGAAGACATGTAAGTACTGTACCCTGCAAACAAATCAGGATAAATGCTCAGTAAAGACTAGAGGTAGTCTAATCACTGGGTACGCTTTGTGCAAGCAAATCAGGATGAAGGCTGCAGTGGCGTAGCGTGGGTTGTCAGCACCCGGGGCAAGGCAAGTAATTTGCGCCCCCTAACCCGTGGATTTGCGCCCCCTAACCTGTGGATTTGCCCTAACCCCAGATGTTGCGCCAGGTGCGGCCGGCCCCCCCTGCACCCCCCACGCTACGCCACTGGAAGGCTGAATAAATTGCTGGCATGGGAGCTTAGCTTGGACTTCAGTGCTGTTCCAAAGGTATCATGAACCATGAGCTTTCACTGCCACCTAGTGGGTTGATCTGGTAAATTATACTGTCTAGGAACTACTGTACTCATTTTGGAAACAAGAACAAAAAGTGGAGGGGTTTGCAATAAAATATTGCAATGGATTCTGTGGTTGAACCCTTAATGACTCGCAGGCCACCAAGCAATAAAGCTGTGAAGCATTAGATTTCAATGCCTTCCATGTGTCCTCTGCTGAAACCTAAACAAAAAGGCACTGAGGTTTCTATGTAATTGACTCTGTGGGTGGACCATACTCATGCCACTACAATGATCTCATCTACCTGGATGAAGGGGCTAGTCCAGGACAGTCTAACATTTCATACCAAGTGGGCTGCAAGAGTACTTCAATACAGAACATGCAGGCTGCACACTGCCTAGTCACAGGGAGGGGGGAGTGTTGAGGCCCAAATCTGAGGCACCCCAGCCCTTAATTCTGCTTTCCCAAAGCCTGGTAAGTGAGGCACAGGGCTTTGGGAAGGAGGCACAAGGTTTTGACAGGGTCCTAGAGCTCCCCATTGTTTCCCAAAGCTGGGAAGGTGCTAACTAGGCTTTGGGAAGGATAGAGAGGACTCTAGGACCCTGTCAGAGCCCTCACACCTCCTTTCCAAAGACCAGCACCTTGGTTACCCAGCTTTGGGAAGGCAGCATGGGAGCTGGGTAGGGTGTCAAATGTTGCTGAAGATCACCAGAAAAAGCCTCAAGGGCAGTCCTCGGACACATGTTGAGGCACTCGTCAGTCGCATCTCAGCCTTCAGAAATGCAATAAAGAAAAGCTCTAACCATTTGGATGCATTTAGCCAGAGGTTTATATGAAAAAAGCATTTCCCCCCCCAAATGAGGTTGTCCCATGAGAAAATAGAGAGGTCCCCCCCCAATAAACTGCTACCACATTTGCAAAGCTAAGCAGGTTTGCAAACTGGTTTTAAATTGGGTGGGGGACTGTGTTGAGATTCCCTTGTTGCAGGGGGCTGGGCGAGATGACCCTTGGGGTACCCTCCAATTCTATAATTCCATGATTCTATGTGTTTTAATTCACATCTAATTTATTTTTAACTGCTTGCCTTTAGAAAAAAACAACTTTTAAGTTTCTTAAATCTTTCTATTGTTCTCTTATACTGTTCTATGTTATGCAGATTTATCATTTTTATGGTGGATTTTATTGTCATTGGGCAGTATGTATATATATTGTTTAGAGACATATTTTGTATGGTCACAAAACACACCAATGTGTAGTAAGAGCATATGAAGAGTCCTGCCAGATGAGACCAAAGAACTACAGTATCTCAGCCAGGTTCTTGTTCTCACAGTGGCTTACCAGATACCTATGGAAGTGCAAAATGCCCCTCCTCACTTGCAATTCCCAGCAGATAGTATTCAAAGGCATTCTGCCTCTCACAACAAAGGTATCCCATAACCACCACTCCTAGTATCCATGGATAACCTTAAACTCCATTAAGTTGTTGAATCCTCTTTTAAAGCTATTCAGCTAACTACAATTTATGATGTGGGAGCAAATTCCATAGTTTAATTATGCATTGTGTAAAGAAATGTTTCCTTCCATCAGTCCTCAGTCAACCAACATTGCCTGGATAGTCCTGAGTTATTGTATTAGGAGAGAGAGGCAGAGTTTGGCAGCTGGTCCTTACTGACACCATTTTATTAATAACCATTGTTATTAATAACAAATACATTTCATTAATAACAAATCTTTTCTCTTTCAAATTTCATTCAATGCCTTCTCTGACCCTTTCTCCTCAGAGGAGGGAGACCTACCTTTCTTCTTCTTGCCCCCACAAACTTCTCTATCTCTGCCAACATTTATTCAGCATTCAAGGAGTTGCTGGTGCTGGCGTCAGTCCAACCCAAAGGCTATGGCATGGCCAGGGGAAGGAGCAGGCAAGTGAAGGAGGGCTTGGGGCGGGCACCTGACCCAAGACCCACCAGGAGCTCCCAGTCCACTGCTTGCTCTAGGTGGGAAAGCCCCAAATCTTGCAACCATAGAGGAGTTTTCATAATAATTGCTATTCCACTGGAAACTGATGGACAAGTGCAAACCATCACTCTCATTGGTAATTTTTGGCTGTAAAGGTAATTTTATTTAAAGGAAAGTTATAAAAGTCTAATATTTTTAAAAAGCTGGGTCCTGAGTTTCACTGCATTCAAGCATGACCAAGAAGTACTGTGTTCCTCGTGCCAGAGAGTGGGATTACTATGGTGAGTACAGGGTCAGATTTAGCTCCCTCCACCCTAATGTATCTACTTACCTTCTCTGATATATGTGAATGGCTGCCATTCATTCCTATAGGAAGGTTTCTATGGGCTGCACATGGAGGCAACACTGCAGTGTGGTCCCAAAAATGAATAAACCACAGGCTCAGCTGGCTTCCACTCAGGCATTCCATGGCCAGTCAGTGTATATTAACTTTTATTTACGGATCTGATATCTTAAAGTCTTCTCTTCTTACTGAACCTATTGTTAGCCCAATAAAAGTTCCCTAGATTCCCTCCCTCTCTCAATGATTGGTTCAAAAATGTGACAACTGCTTGTACTTAACTGTTTTTGCTCACCATAACTTCAAAGTGTCAAAAGTATCTCTTCAGATAAATTTCAATTTGGCTACTCTTTCATCTTTAAGGCTTGGTTCTGGTTTCCTAGAGATTTTGCTTTCTCTCTATTTTTATACAACTTTTCCAGATATTAAAATTTGCACACGAAAGGCGTTTAATCATCTAAATGCTGAGAGACAGACTATGACACAACCAACTTACTTCCCACAGACTTAGACTTCCACCACAAAAATCAGACACCTGAGATTCTGGCTTGTTGAAGTGAAAGATTCAGAGTTTCAGATTAGAAGAGAAAAGTTTATATATCTTACAGGATTCCCCTCCAAGCTTCAAAAGGATGGGGAATTTGTTGCTGCACAAAGATGCCTTCCATTCACATGGAATGTCCTTTTCGAAGTGCTCATTTATGTATTTATTTGTTCTGCTCAGGGGATGGTTATCTTCTATACTACAGTGGTACCTCGGGTTAAGAAATTAATTTATTCTGGAGGTCCGTTCTTAACCTGAAACTGTTCTTAACCTGAGGTGCCACTTTAGCTAATGGGGTCTCCTGCTGCTGCTCCGCCGCCACCACACGATTTCTGTTCTCATCCTGAAGCAAAGTTCTTAACCCGAGGTACCATTTCTGGGTTAGCGGAGTCTGTAACCTGAAGAGTATGTACGTAACCTGAAGCGTCTGTAACCCGAGGTACCACTGTTATAAGGAACAGCCAAGGAACTGTAGGGTTGCGATAAGATACTTCCTTGGGTCACACCAATTTGTTTCAGGGCTTAAATGAAACTGCACACATTATAGTCATGCAGAAAAATAAGAACTGGGGCAAATTCCTTCCTTCCTGAGGTCCACAAGAAGCTCTTATGAAAAGTTCTCCTTTAAAGCTGGACAACAGCTGTGACTGATGTCTTGAGTGGCTGTGGGTGAGGCAAACTGTTGGGGAAGGAAAATGAGTTTGGACCAAACTATACATTACATTGGAAATCTGTGATCAGACTTCCCTGACCCCCCCCATTTCATTTATAAGCTGTTTTCTGAGTGGAGCGGGGGCTCCAAATTAGAACAGTTGGGGGGGGGGGAGAATTCAGATTTTCTCTTCATTATTTTCCCAATCTACATCTTCTCACCCTTACCCCATCATTGGTTGTTGATTGCTCTGGT